CATCTTCACAAATTCATGAAAATTTGAGAACATACATAAATGTTGAAAGAACTATCATCTATCCATCATTCAGATTTCATAATTAAAGTGTTAATACATATAAATTCATCTATCCATTTATCAGTCCATCTTACTTTTGATGCCTTTCAAAGTAGGTTGCAAACCATCATATACCTCACTCCTAAATACTGGAGAACACATATACCAGGACAATTTTTTTTAAAAAAGAATAAGCCTATATTTCTTTGAAATGTAAGATGGATACATTATCTAAATTTATTCAGATAATAAAAATTTAAGGTACAAATTGTACATGTTTGGGAAAGATTTCTTGAGGGAAATTCTGAATCTAACAAAATCACAGCCACTATACACATCTGTACTGATTAGGTTCTGCATCATGAATTATGAGTCTCATCCAAAATATTCTTAAAGAAAACTGATGATCTTTCCTCTTACCATCTGGTGACCAGATTAAGATACCATTATCTTAACTAGTTACATGAAAGGGGCTATACCTTTCAGATGACTCAGGCAAAGTCAGCGTCCTCAAATACCTCAAATTGCTCAGTCACACATCTGGTATTTGGAAGACCCTTTACTTAACATGCTAACTACTCTATTAAATTCTCCAAATGCTCAATCTTGTCAGCTTGATCATCAGATCCAAATGGTCAGTACCCAAGGTGGCAGTCTTTATAAATCAGCATTAAAAACCTAAAAAATGGCCTTTTCATTTATCATTTTACTAGTTCACATATATTTTCAAGACACTTTTGTTCATTTTCAAACTAAGAATCTCTTTATAAAATTTTTTAATTTTAGAAAGCCAATTTTGCCTTGGTTTAAAGAAAAACATTGCAATAATTTTGCAATAATTTCATTTGGCCACTAGAGGGCAGGGGTTTCCTTCTACTTTGGTTCACTCTGCTTTTTTCCCACTAGCTAAAATGCAAGATTTAGTTAGGGAAWCTGATATCCCATCTTCTGAATTTTATTTCCTGGTAATTTGTTTCTTTSGATCCTAAGAGTCTTTCAAATATTAATAAAACACATCTCTGGTTCTTTTGTTATCATAATTTCCACTACTATATGAAAGTATTTTGTGCTTATTTTATTTAAACTCACAAAAGTGAATATTTAGGAAAGCCTGGGAAATAAAGTCATAAGTGTTGATTTCTGCTGATTCTTTGAGTGGCACAGGAATTTGACATTTACATTTCTGCTCACATATCCATATGTTGAGAATTATTCTACATTTCAATCATATAAAAAAAGTTAAATTATAGTAATTATATTACTATAGGTGCTTTTTCATTTTGCAGATCTTACATTTATTCGTTTTATTGACTTTAACTTTTTACATAYGAATGCCTTTTTTAGTGCAACAAAGCAATCTCTTTGAGAATCATGTTCATGTTTATATGAACATRAGTTATCATTTTACTAATTCACATGTATTTTCAATTACGTTATTCCTGTGTTTCCTTATGTTGCTATTCTCATAGAATACAGAGTGAAGTACTAGTTTAAAGATTTAGGATTTAGATGACAGCACACATTCAAATACCAGTTCTCCTGACCTCTGGCAAATTACATGACTTTTAATTGTTTAGTAAAGACTTTTAATAATACCTCCAACTTCTTTACTTTATAATGGTGCTGAGACTGGGGCCCACCAACTGCCTAARATAGGGCCGGTGCCCATAATAGTATCTAGCACAAGGTGATCTACCTCTGCTTTTATTACCAACTGCCATTAGGTAAATGTAATCAGTTAAAATTTAAATACACAGCCCTTAGCAAAAAGCTTCAAATATTAGTCTGATATTTGCTATCATAGGTTTTCACTCAATAACATATAAAACTTGTCTCCAGAAAAACCATAAGAAGCCCTTTATAAGGTTCCAACTACACAAGGACCGCCCCCCACACACACACACACAATTCCTTAGCCCAGCATTTAATAATATCCATGCTTCTTACCTGCCTTCTTCTCTCCACCTTTGTGGCCAGGGGACGTTGGGGACTGTGGTGAACTGGAGAAGGTTGCTTCCTGGCCCACTGTGTTTCCCGAGCACCCCTGTCCCTTTAGGATAGATAAGGACACATCGCTTGCCCTGACAGTCTCAGGATTCTAGGCAAACCCTGCTCCTCTTAACAGTGGGTATAGATTGGCAGCTTCAGGACCTAATGTGGTCTGAAGATGTGCTTTCTCTAGCTTCTCAGTGAAGGGAAATAGTGAGAGTTCATATACAAAATCAAATTTCCAGGTTTTGTTTTTTTTTTTTCTTAAACCTGGGTAGCAATAGGTTGAATCTGAGTTAACAACTGCCACATTTGTAGGAGATCTCTTTCCAGCTTTGGGTGGTGCTGCATTAAATCTAGTCTACTTTGCTTATCAACTGCTATTCAAAATATGTTGCAAATAGTGCCTCTGGGTCTGTGTGGTGCAGCCCAGGCTGTCTGCAGGCATTATCAGGTGTGACTAAGCATTTCTTCAGATGTAAGGGCCACCTTCCTTCTTTGCTGGCAAAGTAACTAGTATTGTGAACATGGGCTCCACCTTCCTGGGGTCCGGGGGCTAGGAAGCTTGGGCCCTACTGTGTTCAAGCTGAGAGACAAAGGCTAGCCATTAACTTTGCTAACAACCCAGTAGTCAGTCTGATGCTCCCTTCGTTTCATCTGTGCAGCATAAATGCATTTCTTTTATGAATTTTGTGGTCAACCATCTATTCTTTTTCAGACTTCTCCAGGGCCATCCATAAACCCAGGCAGGTCAAGAACCTAAATGAGAAAGGAGGGAATAATCCCATAAGGCAGAGAAACTTTTCAGTTCTAGCCCAGTGTGGGTGTAGAGGTCCAGTGTTGCCAAATGTGATTGTTTAAGAGAAACAAGAAATCCATTTTCTAAAATTAAAACCTGCACTGAAAAGTTTGGTAACATTGGGTGAGCCAACGAAAACACAGTCCACACCCTGCATTTGGACCAGGAGCCACGTGTTCACAATGTCTGCTGACCAAAGAATACACAGTCCTTCCACCCGGTGTATGATTCTGGGAAAATTTTCCTGAGAGGTGTTAACTAAATAAAGTGATCATGCTGAAAGTTACCAATAGAAGCAGCCATTTTCAAAGGACAGCGCTCTCTATACAGTCTACCTAGGTTACTTGTTTAGGCTCCAGGCTTCCTTCTAAATGTCCCTCCACAAGTACCAAGGCTCCCCTCTTCTACCTCAATGCCACCAGCCCGAACAGCCCACAGTTTGTAGGCAGCGATTATTTGTTGACTTAAAGTAAGTTTTGCCATTATGGAAAGCTGGCTGGCACTCATGTTTTAAAGATGCTTTGGGGGATGGATTAAAAAAAAAAAAAAACACTTGCAACAGTCAGCATCGCTATTTTCACCTTTATCTTACCTTTGATGAAAGTGTTTCCATATGACAGTCTGTTTTCTGTAATGACATGCCAAAATGTCACAATGTTGGGCTTCCAATGCCTTCTGAAAAAATATATTTCCTAACGTGTTTTGTAAGTGGAGTACAAAGTAGAACATCAGAATAACCTCATTGTTGGTAAAACCTGCCACCACGAACTCAGAAGGATATTCTAATGAAGAGCCACAGTGTTCACAGTATTGACAAGCATCACTTCATAGTGTGTAATGACGAAGGCAATTATTTTATCAGGATTGGCATTTATTCAGCAATAATTTATTAAGTGGATATGGTGTATAGCTGCTGGAGTGAGTGGAATGGAGATTTCATAAGCATTCATGCATTTATTAGTATCCATGGATGGTGTTACATAAACATAAATGTTTTATTTACTGAATACACACATATTTGCTCTGTACCAGGAAACATTCCAAAGACTTCATAAATATTAACCTATTTGCTCCTCTAAACAGCCTTGCATGATCAATAATATTATGATCCCCAACATTTGTATATCCTTTTTCTTTTTCTTTTTTTTTWAAGTGAGAGAGGGAGAGAGAGAGAATTTTTTAATATTTATTTTTTAGTTTTCGGCGGACACAACATCTTTGTTTGTATGTGGTTCTGAGGATCGAACCTGGGCTGCATGCAAGCCAGGCTAGTGCGCTACCACTTGAGCCACATCCCCAGCCCCTGTATATCCTTTTTCTATAGAAACAGAGACACCAAGAATAAGTGACTTGCCCAGTATCATTTAATTCACTTCATCACTTAATCACCACTCGGAAGTGGCAGAGCCAGAATTCCAAGCCAGGCAGGTCTAGCTCCAAAATCTGTGCTCTTTTTATTTACCACATCAATTAGTTATTTACATGAGACAAAACAATCCCCGAATTGAGTGGCTTACATTATGAACTACTTACTACTTTTCTTGAGCAGTTTTTTCAGAGGGGCACTGCTGCTGATCTGGACCAGCCTCAGCATATCTTACGGATTCTCTGATGTGAATTGCCGATGAATAAACTGTGGACAGCTGAGACTGGCTAGCCAGAAGGACTGAGATGCCCTACACRGCATCTCTCATCTCCATTGCTCTAGAGGAGAGGGTCTGAGAAAGAGCAGAAGAAATCACATGTGTCTTTACGATCCTCTGCTTGTGTGGAGTTTGCTACTACTCTCTTGTGTGTTTTTGCTTTGCAATACTGGAGTTTGAACCTGGGGTGCTTTCTCACTGAGATCCATCCCTCGGGGTCTTGCTAAGTTGCTGAGGTTAGCCTTGAGCTACCGTCATGATTGATGAAAACAAACCACAGGGTCAGTTCTGGAGACAGTGAGGAAGGGCACTATGAAAGGGTCTGAATAACTGAGCCTTTAATTCCRTCAACCTGCCACGAATATGACTCCACACTATGCTACATTTGTCTTTCTTCCCAGTTAAAAATTAGATATTTTAGACTCCAAATGAGTTGTTGAGAACACTGTAACACCACGCCTTGTTGGTTTAGGAAGGTAATACAAGTACAATAGGAACAGTAGAAAATGAAAGGCTCTTTATGATTTTAGGCTGATCCTGGGGAAACACCAACAGAGACTCCAAGCGAAACCAAGACGACTCCCTCAGAAAATGGGGTGAATCACACTACATCCCTGGCACCCAAACCACCTTCCCAGGCTCTGCACAGCCAACCTGCTCCAGGTAAGCAATGGAAAGCAGAGCTGCACCAGGTAATAAAGAGTGAAGTGTTGGTGCCACTGAAGGGGGCAGCGTGGTTCGGTGGCTGCGTGATTTCAAGTGCAAAAAGCAGCACAGACCTGCGTGAGGAGTGGGTGGGTGAATGCATGCATGCCAAGAGGACTCAGGGCTCCTGGGCTSCACTGGCCACTTGAAACTCCCCCAGGTTTCCTGTGTCTTTATTAGTGGTGGAATATGATCCGTCTGCTGGCAGGGTTTGTGAAGAGTKCTTCAAGCAACTTACAAACAACTCTGCTTTAGAAACACGTTCTCAGTCATACTTCACTAAGTCTCTGCCAAGATCTCCTTTCCCTTACTCCAGCTTGCTTTTCATTACCCTTGAATGTCTACCATGTACTGTGCRCCCTGCTTAGCCCTTCACCTGCATTATTTTATCTCACCCTCACACCAAGCCCCTATGAGGAGATTCTATTATTGTCCCCATTTTGCCGATGAATAAACTGCAATTTTTAGGTGATACAGTACCTCCTTAGCCTGTGGAAACCAATGGCAGGACAGACACAGTTCCTAATAGTTTTTGTGGATACTCCAGCCAAAGCTATGCTCATGTCACCTTTCTCAGAAAAATCCTTTTATTTCTCTGCAGCTCACTTGACCTTTAATCTTACAAGGGTTTATGTAATCATCCCTCATTGTTATGTATGTCCTATTTCTGGTAATAGAAGGTGAGCTTCCTAGGATAAGCTTTGTATGTCACAGTGATGAAGGCTAGTGTGTGCCAGCATTTGACTTGTTAAACTTGATATTTTAAAATAATTTGATGAACAGAAAATGCTTTTTAATTGGCATAGAATACATGGCAGAAAATCTCCCTTTTCCCGAAAGTCACCATGTGGCAAGATAATGGTGCAATGTTCAAAAACCGGAATATTAACACTGACACAGTACTCTGAGATGAACTGAAGATCTTGTTTGAACTTTGGCTGCTTTCCACTAATATCCTTTAGCTGTCCCAGATTCTAACTCGGGATGCCACATTGTACTTATAAGTCTTCTTGGTCTCCTTTAATCTATGGCAGAYCCTAGTGTTTCCGGGTCTTAATAGCCTTGATCATTTTGAAGAATTCTAATGTTATTRTGTAAAATTCCCCCCATTTGAGTTGCCTAGATATATTCTCCTGAATAGACTTGAATCCTGAACTTTTAGGCAAGACCATCACAGAAGTTATGCTGTGTCCTTCTCTGTGCATCATATCAGGGGTGTGATGTTGATATGTCCCATCTGCCACAATKCGGGAGCACTTGGTTCAGTTATTTTCTCCATGGAAAGTTAAGATTTCTGCTCTTTGATAGCCAAGGGAWGATGCTTTGAGACTATGCAAATATCCTGTTCATCCTTAAATTTTGGCAGCTGATCCATAAATGGATCTTGCCTGCAAGTGCTCAGCTTTCAATTTTTAAAAGACCTCTTGTCATTGCTTATTTGTCCAAAAGGTGGCATTAGCACTCCCTAAATGGAATTTGTTGTTTTGATCCAGGTGGAAGGTTCTTTTCTCTCCCTATATGTGAATGAAGCAGCTATATAATTTCACATATAATTAGGTTTGTCTCAAAATTACAAAACAAAGACTTTTTGGAGTAATCTTTTTATAAATAATTTTCTACCACCATTTTTCATTCTTAGAAACTTAGAATCAAGGACCAAACTTTTTGAAGGTTCTTTACTTTGCCTTTGTATTGCAGGTTCTGTCAAGGCTCCTGCCAAAACAGAAGATCTTATTCAGAGCGTCCTAACAGGTAAATACCACCCTTCCCCCACCCCAAACTCCATGGAATTTTGTAGGTGAATATTAGACACTGTAAGTATTTAGAGAATCAATTTACATTTTTTCTCTGAAAAATGATATCACTAATATTTCTTCTTTTAATAAAGATCTAATATTTCTTCTTTAAAAAAAAATATATAGGCCACATTACATGATGTAATCAGAGAGAAATAACCATAGTTAGTAAATAGGACCTTATTGGCWTAAAAGTAATATATATTTTTTACAAGATAGCTATTTCAGAATCAAAGAATAGATTCCTACTGGGTGTGGCCCTGTGAACAGTAATGCATTTCTTCCTAAAATGCCGAAAATTAACTGTATTTTAGATATGCAGAATGTCACCCATTTGTGACCATAAAATGCATGGTGTTTAAGAACCGTGATGCAGCTTAAAATTATTTTAAATTTGGCTAGTTTTACCTAAATTAGTGGTCCTAGAATCAGTATAAGCTTTCTTCAATACAATTTTCAATAAGTAGTAGAGTCCTAAAAATATTTAAAATATTTGATCCAATACACAACAGAAATGTACAAGCATGTTCACCAAAAAGAGCACCTGGGTAAAAGCCAAATGTCTACAACCAGAAAGATGTAAGACCCATGAATAAGTTGTAACAAATTGACAATATAGAATAGGATACAGTCATGAGAAAGTCACACACACTGATATGGATAACACTCCTAAGTATAATGCAGAAAACAAAGATTGGCAAAATCCATTCATGCCATTAGAAATCCAGAATTGGGTTATACCTGGTAAGGGCAGGAACCACAAAGAAGGTGTCTGGAGTGCTGGCGATATTCTGATTTTTCACATTGGTGATGGTATTTGTAGCATGTTAACTTTATGAAAATACACAGGGCTGTGTGTATTTAGCATTGATGTACTTTTTCTGTAAGCATTCATATTTCACAAAAATACTCAAAATATGCATGGAAAAATTACTTGAGGAGTACATTAGAAGCAAACAAAATATCTTAAAAGTCTTAGTTCCATAGAAAACAGTACTACWTTGATGTTTAATATAAGGGTCCAGTGTTTTTCAAGAATACATTAATGTGCTGGGCCAGGTGGAGCACACCTGTAATCCCAGTGGCATGGGAGGCTAAGGCAGGAGGAGAGGAAGTTCAATGCCAGCCTCAGCAACTTAGCGAGGCCCTAAGCAACTTAGCAAGATCCTATTTCAAAATAAAAATAAAAAGGCTGGGGATGTGACTCAGTGGTTAAGCACCTCTGGATTCAAATTCCAGTTCCCCACAAATTAAAAATACATAAGTGCATAGACAAAATACAACGGTCTATGGAAATATATTAGCCTTATTATGTCTTGGTGACTTACTCAGAAGGGATGTTTGTGTCTATATAAATGGACATTACCTTTATACTTTAGAATGTGTCATAGGAATAGCCTTCCATCTACATACTTTTAAAATATATTTTTTATTTTTTTTTATTTTAGGGATCAAACCCAGAAATAGGCCATAACCCCAGCCCATTTTTCAATTTTATTTTATTTTATTTTATTTTTTTTTTTTTGTATTTTGAGGCAGGGTCTCTCTAAGTTGCTTAGCACCTCACCAAGTTGCTAAGTCTGGCTTTGAACTCATGATCCTCCTGCCTCAGCCTCCCAAGCTACTGGGATACAGGTATTCACCACTGTACCCAACTACAATACAGAATTTTATGTGAAAATTTTATCAAAAGTTGGAGTTTCTTTTTTAAACCATTTATAGCTGATATGCTGTGAATTATTTTTAAGGAAATGCGGTGGGATCTATTGCCCAAAGTGCAGCAATTCCTTAGGATTATAAATTCTTAATGTGATATCTTATTATAYAACCATGATGAGTCAGTTTGGACCTGAAGGAAACCATTAAATAAATGTACCTGGTTTTCTCCGTGGCTTCTATCTTAAAAAAAAAAATTAAATAAAAATGTTAAGAGAATAGACACATTTAAGGGAAGGAAGTGTATTTCAACTGCTTAAAGATTTTAGCATTTAGGAACATAAATTATTGTTCTGATTTTAGTGTTTATCCACTCGGCATCTCATTTTCTATTCAGGTCTGTTGTTATTCATGGCATATATTATTTCTGAATCTCTTGACATTTCTAAATATTTATGGTAACTTTTTTTTTGTTCCCCAAAGCAAAAAGTTCAGATCAAAGGATGGAAATATGTGAACTTTGACTTAATCTAGGTCCAAGTCAATGATAATTCACTGAAGCTAAGACACCATCATGTATTGCTAAGAAAGAAAAATCCTGCAAAATTTTGGTATCCCATTGACCATAAGTAGTATTTTTATTTCAGAAATGTGAACATATTTTTAAAATGCAGATTCTAGAATCTATGAAATATGTCAGCGAAGTACAGAATGTTTTAAGGTCAGGCTCTTTCCTAATAAATGTTTCCTCAACATTGAATATGATGCTATATAGGCTGGCACTAACCCTTGGGATGCCTTCCTGCAAACTAAATTAAAGGGTGCTCCCTTGAGACATCTTACTGCTGGATACTGTTGAGATACCTGTACAGATGTATGGTGTCTTTACTGTGAGTGGTCCCCCATAGAGATGGCACTACGGAATCTGCATAATTATTTACTGAGCCTCTATGGACACAATGTCAAAAATTGTTAAACACTTTCTGTGAATTCTTTCATTTCACTACAAAGTAGTACAGGTGTTTTAAATCCTTAAAGTGGCTGCTGTGGGTGTCCTGCCCAGATTTCCCACACATCTGGTGCACCCACCGTGTCCCAGCTGTAGGAAGGGTTGGCTGCAAACAGCTGCTAGCATCCCTGTCTTTGCCCAATTGCCCTCAGCCCAAAGGAAGACCCTGGTCCAGAAGATTATGCCTCTGCCCACTGACTATACAAAGATGTGAGAAACTGACCCTCTTGCTTAAGAGGAGACTGAGCCTGGGGGACAGTTCACCCTCCTGAGCTTCCCTGGGATCGGGCAGAAGCTCAACAGCACCTGAGACACATCCTTGTTCAGCTGCTGCCTCTGCCCTATGTCCCTGCTTCATTTCCCTCCCCTGGGAGACCTTCAGTCMATCACATGAATGCATTCCCTTGTGGGCTCAGCCTCTAAGGAATACCAACTTATAAAATAAAATAAAATAAAATACAAATGAAGAGAAGTTGGTAACCCAGCCATGAATTAGCAGGAGATAGAGACAGACTAAAACCTGGATCCATTTGGCATCTGACTTTACTCTTAAGCTTCAGTTGGCCAAGATCAGACGGCTGTCGCTCACRGAGCAGGTTGCTGCTGCTCCTCTGTACTGTCAGTCCTTCCTGTCCCTTAGCTCTTATGCTCCTTGGTTGCAGAAGTGGAAGCACAGACGATTGAAGAGCTAAAGCAACAGAAATCATTTGTGAAACTTCAAAAGAAGCACTACAAAGAAATGAAAGACCTGGTGAAGAGACACCACAAGAAAACTACTGACCTGATCAAAGAACACACTACAAAATATAATGAGATTCAGAATGACTACTTGAGAAGGAGGGCAGCTCTGGAGAAGTCAGCCAAAAAGGACAGCAAGAAAAAGTGAGTTAAATGAGTATGTTTTACAACATGAAGAGTCAATTCCATGGCTCGCTGATGTTGTGTTTTTAATGCCATATTGTGTATCTATCCCACCACCAAAAAAGAAAAGCCACCAAGCATTCTCTATATCCATTCTCTATAACTCTTTTTTTTTTTTTTTTTGAGGGGGGGACGAAGAATTTCCAGGGGCACTTAACCACTGAGCCATATCCCTGGCCCTTTTCATGTTTTTTTTTTACTTATGGACAGAGTCTCACCAAGTTGCTTAGAGCCTTGCTAAATTGCTGAGGCTGGCTTTGAACACGTGATCTTCCTGCCTCAGCCTCCCAATCTGCAAACAGCTCCATTCTGTATGGTTTTTGAGTCACTTTTGCTTGTGGGAAGAACTTACTGATTTTTTTCTTTTATCATTCTCCCCCTCCAATGCCCCCATTCGCCTCCAAGAGATAGGGCCTAGCTCTGTTGCTCAAGCTGTTTCTCAACTCCTGGACTCAATTGATCTTCCTGTCCCAGCCTCCCGAGCAGCTGGGACTATAGGTGCACAGTAGCAGGCTCAGCTGTGACTTTCTTTATTTACCTGAATTCTGAGAATAGACATCAAGTTTTCCTTTAGTTCTTTCGGCTCATGGACCTAATCCCAGTCGACTGACTGCCTATATTACAGCTGCCAATCTGGCAGGTATAAAATAGGTTCTGTCCMTAGAACCTATTTGAAGAGGCAGCTTGTCTTAGAGAAAACAGAGGCCTCAATTCTTGCAGCCCTATCTCCCATAATGCCCTGCATTATGTTTGGGACCGGGGTCCCCACAGCCTCATGTACCCAGAGCTTGATGGGAGAAGCATTTCCTCGCACAGTCATTCAGCTAATATTTATTTAATGCATATTATATCCCGGGGACTCAGTAATGAATATAACCTGCACAATTTTCACCCTCAAGTAGCTAATGAGGTAATGTGGGAAATATAAGCAATTAACAACGAATACCCCAAATAATTTCAGACTGTGATGAATACTCTAAGAAAAGGATAATGTGATAGAGAATAGCTTGGGATAGGAGAGCCCTTCTGACATGTCAATCKGTAAAGAGGTGATACGTAAAGAATAAATCATAACCAACTATGTAAGGGATGAGGGAGAATTATTCCATGCTGAGGGAACAGACAATGCAAAGGCCCTGTGGCATGGGAAAAAAATGGATTCCAAGAACTCTAAATTTTGCAAAGTAGGTGAGACAGAGTAAAAAATGGGCAGAGTGAAACCAGATGAGGTCTGGGAAATTGGAGAGAGAATCATACCACTGGTTCCTCAGAGTTTGTATGAATAATCCAGAATTTATGTAAGTGCAATACGAATCCACTGAAAAAAAAAATAAATGGAATTGTTGTGTCTAACTAATATTCTCAAAAAATGATTCCAGCTGCTGAATGAAAGAGAGACCCTTAGCTGGGCTTCTCAGATACATAGAGTCATCAGGGATCTTCTTAGTCTTAGTCGCAGGCTCTGATTCAGCAGGTCCAAGGTAAATAATGCTGTTGCTGCTGGTCCATGGATAGCACTCAAAGTGAGGGCTCAGTGTGGGAGCCAGGTGACCAGTGGGGAAACACTTTCATGAATCCATCCAAGTGATGTCATATAATGGTTTGGTTTAGGATGATGTGGTAGACATGGAGAGAATAGATGGATACCTGACTTTAAGAGGAGCCTAGGATATGGGGTCGGAAACTTGGAGGAAASCAATCCATGTGGAAAGAAAACTCATGCAGTCACTCCAGGCTAAATCTATTCAYGGACTTTTATCTAGACCAGACAGATATATTTCACATTTTAAGGTACATAAGATTCGCTCAGAGGGCTTGCTCAGACAGGCTTCTGAGCCTCAACACAGAGTGCTGTCACGTGGGCCTTTGGTGGAGCCTGAGCTTCTGAATTTCTAACAAGCTGCCAGGGTTTGTCAGTGTGACTGGTCCAGACATTGCCATTGATGGCCCTGGTCTAGCATCCTTCAAAGTCATTTGAAAAAAAGAAGGGTGGCCTAAAGGGCTYGTTGGGTCCAGTCTCTATCTACCTTCCCATCCTTAATCCCCAGTGCTCCATACAAAACCCTGTAGTTCCTACTTAGATCCCACCATGATAAAATAGGGAATTAGGATTCTCCTGCATAATGGACTTTCTAAAATTGCAAATCTCTGCCATGAAGGCTGCAAGCCCTACCTCTAAACTCCAACCAAGGTATGTGCCAGTTGTCAGAATCCCAATTTTTGGATTATTGATTTCCATATGAATTTCAAAATATCATTTGCTCTTAGAATTCCACTTTGGGTTGTCATCATAGCTTACCCCAGACTTTGTGGACACTAGTATGACTGACCACACAGAGATTTCTCTTTTTACCTTTAGTAAGGGGCTGCTTCCAGTCCTAGACAAGCCCTTCTACTACATGTCAATGAAGATCCAGGCATGTAGGCTCTATTGGGTTCCTACGACTGCCATGTACCACTAATTAATCAGAAATATATTGCTTCACAGTTCTGGAGGCTAGAAATCCAAAATAAAGGTACCAGCAGGTACCTGTTCTGAAAGGTCTAGGGGAGGAGCTTTCCTTAACTCTTCTAGCTTTTAGTGGTTGTGAGAAATACCTGACATACCTTGGCTTGTAGATTCTCTTTGCACAGGTGTACCTTAGGATAAGGTGATAATTTCCTTATTACCTTCATTTCCAAATAAGGTAATAAACTGAGCATCTGGGAAGGACATGAAGTTAGAGGGGACACCATTCCACCTAGAGCAAGTCCRGAGCATTTATACACACTATCCCATGTATTTCCCACAGCAGCACCATGAAGTAGGTACAGCCATCACCAACCCTGGACAAGCAAGGACCTGAAGTTCAGTAAAATGGTGCTCCCACCAGTAGAACATGCAACACACAAGACTGCAGTCAGAGTGCAGCCATAGCATGGTACCCACCCCCACCTTGCCAAGAGCCCACCTGTGTCTATGAAATAGTAGATCTGGAACCTGCATCTCTGCAGGCATGTGACTGCTTCCTGGAAGTGTTTCTAGAGTCCTACAAAGGACTTGGAATCTTTATAACTACCTTTCTTTCAATGTCTTACACCATGAATGGATACATGAAATAAAAATACCCAAATAAACAAATTTATTTATCAACTATCTTGTAAGGTCCAAAGTTATTCTTCTAAGTTTAGATTCCTGGAATGTCTTTGAACATTTAGATTCCTGGAATGTCTTTGAGCAGGCTTGTAGCATGAATTTATTGACAATGAATAATATTTTGCAAAGGTAAGCTCTCTAATCAATAAGGTTCATTTTTATATACAAATATTCAAAATTTAATAATTAGGGAAATGGAAATAAAAATGCATTACCTTAAATTTTATTTTTGTCTTTTTGGGGCACAAATGATCTTCATCTTTCTGAGGGTTTATTGAAATAAATATCAAAAATATTTATAACACTAACAGAATATTGTGAAAGGCATTGTACTAAAATCTTTGTAAACATTCACTCACACCATTTTAAAAGTAAAATGTTATTTGTGATATTAAAATATATAGTTTAGGAGATTTATCATTTCCAAAGGCAAACATATCTTTTCAATTTCAATATATATTTGGTATTCTAATGAATTATACATTACAGAGGTGAAAAAATCTTTTAAATTATTTAAAATTATCTCTCCACTTCATTCTCTGTAATTACGGTGTACAAATTACTGTAATCAGATACCCTGAATTTCCATATATTGGCTAATGAATGAACACAATATGGTCAAAGATAATCCACTGATCTGCACAGCCCTAGGAAATCATATGTGGAGTTAACTGTGCAGTTATTCAAAGCTTTCTAGGAAACATCGTCATTGACTTTCTCATTAAAGAGTCTCCCAGGGACTTGACTTATAATAATCTCCCCTGAGAAATAAAGCTTTGTTCTTTAAATGAAAATGTGATAAATCAACCTGCAACTGCATGAGCATGTGAGCCAGGAATAAGGCAGGCAGCATTCCATCCTTCCTTTCCACCCTTGTTGAATCATCTTATTTTGATGCCAGGTCGRTGATAGAGGTAAGATGCATGTTTTAGATCCATATTGTGACATATGATGTAATAGGTGCCTCACTAGAAAGCACARTCAAAATGCAACACTTGAGATTTAAAAAGTAACAAAATCATCTTTCTTTAGAGCTGGAACATACTTAGAAGCCATCTAGGTGAAATTTATCACTTCTTCAAGGAGGAAGTTAAATGCTAAAGACATTAACATTTACCTGCAATTACAAAGCTGGTATAGGCAAAGTGTGGCCTAAGACATCTCCAAAGTTTCTCCTTTASTGATATGTGCATATATGTTTGCTTATTCATTTACTTAGAAGCCACATTTTGTAAGCTTCCARTAGAGTATCAAAATAGCATCATAGGTGACATGTAGGTAAAAATCCTACAAAAATAAAAAAACAGTACACACTCCCATACACACATGAACAAACTGAGTTTTCAACCTGTTATCTAGATCTTTGCTGCTGTCCACATGTTGACTATTGAACTCTTGAAAATGGCTCACCTGGACAAGGGGCACAGCTCAGTGGTAGAGCAGGTCCCTAGCTTATGCAAGGCCCTGGGTTCCATCCCCAGCAACTACAATTAAAATGTGGCTTGTCAATATTGAGATATTCTGTAATAGAAAAATACACACCGCATTTCTAAGGGTATAATATCAAATAGATCCTTTAACTGCATGTTGAATTTACAATATTTTAGATGTATTAGATTAAATAAAATATACTATATTTTATACTGTTTATTTATTTGTTAATTTGCTTACTTATTGATTTATTTTGGTGGTGCTAGGGCCTGAACTCAGGGCTTTGTGAATGCTAGATCAATGCTCTACCACTGAGCTACAGCACAACCCTTCACTTATTTTTACTTTTTAAGGAGGTTACTAAAAGTTTTAAATTACATGGACAAATATCATGTGTAGCTCACATTGTGTTTCCACTGGACAGTACAACCCATTTAATGTAATTTCTGTCCTTGAACACTGAATTAACCTCTTAGTCTCTGAGAAAAGGAAATAAGGATCAGATAGTTCTCCTTATCTGATTAAGRGAAACTTACTTATTCTTTCAAGAGAGACAAATATTTCCCAGTACTAAATTACCATAGAATCTATTTAATGCATCTTATATAAGCAGCATTTGGGAATAATGCCTTCAACCCTGTTTTTACAGAAGATKCGGAAACATTGTTCACGTAGTTGTGTTCGTATACTATTCCTTCAAAAAACAACAACAACAAAACATCATCAAGTACATACTATTTAAAGATACATTAGAAGAAACAAAGCCACCAAGGTCTTGGTTATGTCTGATAAAATCCTGAAAATACCTCAGAGTAACAACTTGGCATCATGTCCATTAGATTATTTTCTTACTCAAATTATCCATTGTCTCAGCTGAGCTTTCCATATAATGTGCAGAACAGTTTACTCAAAGATAATCTTTTTTCAGACATGGCATGTGATGATACTGTGCTGTTGTGAAAGGCACGGGTGTTGTCTGTCTGTGTCTCCCAGGGATGCTTATCCACAGGCAAGGGGTACTGCAGCACCCCTATGCTGTGTCCTTGAGCAAAATGTCTCACTGAGATCCCAGGTCCTCACATAATTYTGGAGAGGTCATGCCTAAATAGCAAGCTGTTGTGAGTGCTCCTGGCACATGTTGAGTAGTCAGTAAATGAGAGTTGCCTCTGTTGTGGTTCTTGCAGCTGATTGAAGAAACACTTTTACGTTCTGGCTATACTGACTTCCAACTATACAAGATGATAAATGTAACTTAWGCTCAAGCCAAGATGGCAGCCATCTCAGAAAATTCAATGCAAGTATCCATGAGCCTGGGAGAGTGGTGGTACTCATTTAGCATTGCACATAAAAAAAAAGAAAAAAAATTGGGGGGAGAGTTCTGCATCTTTTATTTGACTAAATAAGATCTTAACACCAGCTTCCTGTGAGGCCAATGATGCTAAGCTAATTCAAAGAAAAAATAACGGGAATTAGTAACAGCTGATCCTAAGAAACATTCTCTTCCTAATTYTATCTGATTGCTAATAAAGAAGATGGAAGCAAAGTCCAATGTGATGAATGTCATGGGCGGTTTGGTCTGATTTCTGAGGGCTGCTCCATATGAACAAAATCAGCAAATCTCCTCTRTTTCTTGTTCCCAGTACTCTGTCTSCCTTTCTATTGTTTTCTACAAGTTATAATACAAAGTACAAAATTATATGAAATCATGACATGAGTTAGGGAGAATTGTTTTAACCTATTTGAACACTAGTCCTAACCTTTTAAAGATCTGTTTAACTCTTTAAGAACAGTGCAGAGAAAGTCCTCCTACACAGAATAAGCACTCAGTATGAAGTGCTTATTCTAAGAATATATATATTGCACTATATGCATCTCCTTTCCTTTGTAACTGAAGCACTTTGAGGAAAGTACCATTTGGGTAGTGATGTTGCTGCTGGTGATGAGAATCAATCAGTGCCAAGTTTAGTTTCCCCAGAATGTTGAAGATAGAACTCCTGAGAAATGCCAAGGCAAGCCTAGAAAGCAAGTTTTATTTAAAAGATAGAATAGAGGTAAACTTCTCTGCAGAGAAGGGGTCTCAGAGCTGGGTGTTGAGGAWGTGGGGGTGTCCTGCCTCTTTTATACACTTTAGAATTTATTTGTTCTCTTGGCCTCTCCTACCCATCCTGACTATGTGACTGGTAGCCAAAAGGTGGGCCAAAGATGGGAGAGAAGCCTTTGAGGGGTACCTCTCTGTATCTGTCCAAAAGGTCAGGAAAGGAACCACCCGGAAGGTACTTCATTATAYTCCTACAGCTCCTTAGAGGGAACAACAATTCCTTGGAGACAGGAATCCTTGGCACCAGGTGGAGGAGAAGGGGGAAGGCTTTGGAGATATTAGCATTTTATCCTCCAGAATCAGCCCCCATCTTTCTGACCCAGTCACTTATTACCTACACTGACTGTCATGTGCCCTGAGCTCACTGATATCAATTAAGTTGATTCAGCCCYCAAAGAACCATATTTTATAATGTGCCCTTGCTATTAAAAATCTTTAAGAAACAGAATTCAGAAGTTTTCTGGGAAGGTTATCTGCACAGGATGTCTGTACCTRCTCTCTATTTTCAATCCATAACACTCCATATGCAAAATATGGCACATCTTCAACCTTCCCTAAGAGAATCCACTCAACATAGTAAAAAGTTTTTAGAGAGAAAATGGAGCTGGGATGACATTGTACATGCCACATTAAAAACAAATAAGTAAACAAGAGGAAGGTCTCAAAAACCTTTACTAGACAGTGTTTTTCCCAAACAGGATTATCATTCTCACCACCCCCATTGTTAGGACTCTCAGCTTCCTGGCTTGGTTAGGWCTCTTAGCTTCTTGGCTTCCCAAGTTTCCTTTTCTTTTGGCCCCTGCCTCTTCCTGGAGCAACACAAATTTTATTGTTTCTGTAACTTAATACCTTCTGTTGCTAAACTTGACTTTGAGGTCTCATCCTCTAGAACAAGTAGCTTATCAAAAAAATTATTTCCAATATTATTGAATTCAACATTGGGCTAATCAAAATATTCATTTCCAAACACGATGGCTTCTCTAGGAGGAACTCTTGCAGACAGCCTTCCCTGCGAATTTATTACCACCTGTATGCTTTGTGAGTCAAGCTTTGTGTCTTTGCAGATCAGAGCCCAGCAGCCCTGACCATGGCTCATCAACAATTGAGCAAGATCTTGCTGCCCTGGACGCCGAAATGACCCAGAAGTTAATAGACCTGAAGGACAAACAACAGCAGCAGCTGCTTAATCTTCGGCAAGAACAATATTATAGTGAAAAATACCAGAAGCGAGAACATATTAAACTGGTAAGCCCAAGAAACATGATTCATGTTTGGGTGGCTGAAAACCTCTTTCCTATAGAAAATGTTTTATACTTTGGCGTAATTCAAAGGGCACAAGGGCAGGTTCGAATGGTACCATCTTGGGAGACCATGGAGGCCACCAGCTGTCTACCATGCTAATATTTTCTATACTCTATTATTCTACCATCTTCACTAAGCTCTTCTCCATTCCCTCAATGTGGCTATGCTTTATTGTTTTTATTGACTCTAACTCATTTTGGGGATATGGGTTTTTGGGGTATCTTTGGATTTACACAGGAAAGTAAATAAATTCTTAGCCTTACTTAACAAAATTAAGAACATGCAGCAAGTAAATTCTAACATTTTCTTTATCACTGAGCTTCTCAAGAAATGAAAAAAGAAATTACACAGCTCACTGTCCTACATTTTAAAGGGTCAACATCTAAAGGACCAAGGACTGATAGGAAATGTCATCTTTCCAATTTCTGAGACTCCCTATGGAAACAAACCCCATCCTCTCCAGTAAAGATCAGTTTCACCACCCACCACCACCACCATTTTTTTTTCATGGATTGTGACATTTTCTCCCTTGTGGAGGTCTTGACACATGGTAGGGACATAATTAATATTTAAAAACAGCTATATTAAATAAATTCAGCAATAAAGTAGTCTTGAAAACAAAATAAAGTASCCTCAAAAACAAATCAAATGAGTAATCTTAATAAAAATTAAAGCAGTGAATCCAGAGGAAATGGGTTGTAAGAGGTATTTCTAAGATCTGTCCATTTTCTGCTGAGGGTCTGCACATAYAGAATTATGAGGCTGTTTCTGCTTATATGGTTAGAAATCTGCAGATGGTTTAGCCATTACTGTGTGGAAGGGGATCAYTGTGAGTACTGGCAACTCCATGATAATATGCAAAGGATTCATATGAATGGGTTATCAAAAACCAGACTCCACTTGATCATTTATTCTTAACATAAGTGTAAGTCAAGATAACCTGGAAAATTTGTTAAAAGTTAGATTGTTAAGCCCTATCCCAAATTTTAATTCAACAGGAGTCTTGCAGAGGTAGTATTGATCATACTTCTGTTCCTTGGAACATGCTTTGAGAACCACTTCCTGATACCCTAAAGGAGTATCAGAGCTTTGTTTTTAACAATCTTCACAAAATTTTGATGGAAGCAGTGAAAGAACAGTCTGGCTGAGCTTGGTTTGGGTGCAAGGAGGGGATTGCCTTGACAAACCTGARAAAGGCAATACCAGTTTTATCAGGAGATAATGGCTTTGAGACCCAGCCATGATCACGGCCATGTGACTTTCTTCACTGAGTGACCCAGACCTACTACTCTAGAATATAATGATTATAAGAATAAAAATAGCAACTGTTCATTGGACCCTCACCAGGGGGTCATAAACTAAGTCATTTATGGAAACTTAATCCTCATACCACTGGCCTTTGTTACTATTTTCAGTCCATTTTGTGTTTTTTTTTTAAAAATAGAGAAAATAGAAACATTATTTACTTTTCCAGGGTTCCACAACTAGAAACTGGTATTTGGGGGATTTGATTTTTGGTCTTCSGATGCTAGACCCCCTACTTTAGGACCATTATGTAGGTGCCTCTTATAATTCACATTCCATGCAATGTCCCTAAACAAGAACAAAAACAAATAAGTGGGCAAAAATATGCCATATACTAGGTAGGAATAAGGGCTTAAAAGAAAAAAAAACTATCATAAATAGAGAAATTGGAGCAGAGACTGGGGCAGGATGAAGAGTGGGTTTACAATTTTAAAGGAAATAGGTGGGGAAGGACTTGCTGAGAAAGCAGCATGTGAGTCAGGAGGCAAAGGAATGACCCCTACAACACATGGAGGAAGGTTTTTCTAGGCAGAAGATATGACACACATAGACTCTGGGATAAGAGTGGGCCAGATAGAGCAGGGTAGCTCTGTCTGAGAAAGGTGATCAGGTGTCAAGTTAGAGTGATAGAACTTTTAGGGTGGGAGACACATCTTCTTGGTCTTTAGGCTTCTCTAAGGCCACTGTGTTTCACTTGGAGTGAGGTGGGAACTGTTGAAAGTTTTGAACAGAAGACTGACATGATCTAAAGTCACAGTGACCACTCTGGGTCTGTCTTGTCCTGGACATGGTGAGAACTGGTCCTCCAGGCAGGGGCAGTTCAAGCCAACCGTGGACCAAGAGGTTGAGAAGTCGTGGCATTCACTAGCAGATGACTCAAGTTCACCAATAGAATGAATGTTACTTAGAAGTCTACAAAACTCAGCCACCATCATCTGGGGTTTCCCCAGGGACCCAACCCTTGAGCAAGACTCCATTTTCCAAGAAAAGAAACATGGCAATTTTTTTTTCACAAAAAAAAAAAAAACTGTGGCAGAGTAAGAGAGTATCCTAATATTCATAGGAGATTCCCAAAATAAGAATACTGAATAGAGATTAAAAACAGAAGTCTAGATTTCCCAAGAAGGCCTATTGGGAGGAGTGAACTCGAGCTGCGGAAATGGGATGCAGAAATCACAGAAAAGAACTGAAAAATCCGACATTCCATGAACAATACCTAGATAAAAAGCAGCATATATAATTCCAGTAATAAGGGTATGAAAATCAACTCAGTAGGTTTTCTCCTGAAGGAGCAGGTTGGTTTAAAGGTCCAGGCAAACTTATAAATGGGAAAACCTCACCCAAGAAGCAGAGGAGGTGGTGTGCATTTTAAAATTTTATCTGTTCATCTATTGAAGGGCATATAGGTTGGTACCACAGTTTAGCTATTGTGAACTGTGCTGCTATAAACATTGATGTGGCTGTGACCCTGTAGTATGCTGTGTTTTTTTAAGAGAGAGAGAGAGAGAGAGAATTTTTTAAATATTTATTTTTAGTTTTTGGTGGTCACAACATCTTTATTTTATTTTTATGTGGTGCTGAGGATCGAACCCAGCACCCCATGCATGCCAGGCGAGAGCACTACTGCTTGAGCCACATCCCCAGCCCCTAGTATGCTGTTTTTAAGTCTTTTGGGTATAGACTAAGGACAGGGATAACTGGGTCAAATGGTGCTTCCATTCCCAATTTTCCAAGAAATCTCCATACTGCTTTCCATATTGGGTGCACCAATTTGCAGTCACACCAGCAGTGTATGAGTGTAACTTTTTCCCCCACATCCTTGCCAACACTTATTGTTTTTKGTCTTCATAATAGCTGCCATTCTGACTGGAGTGAGGTGAAATCTTAGAATAGTTTTGATTTGCATTTTAGAATTCAGAAAAAAATAAGTACATTTCTATGTCAGCCTGGCCCTTTGGGAAAAATGTAAGCATTGTATTAAAAATGCTCATTTCTTCTACACTATGATTGTGGATTTGGGCTTCAGTGAATTCCCAATGCCTTTTGAACAAACATGTACAGACCTTTATTAAGAGGTCAATGGCTGGAACACTTTGGATTTAGAACAACACAAAGTTTATTTCATGGCCACTAGGGGGCATCCATAGTTTATTCTACATACCTTTAGTCTAAAGCAGCTTCACTTGTAATAACTAGAAATTATTCTGCCAGGGAATCTTTTTAACTGAAAGGTACCCAGAAGTTTCAGTTCTCTTTGGTGGTGCTTTTGAGTGATGAGCAGGTTTCTCAGGCTAAATCAGACCAATGRAAATGTAATTAAAAAGTGAGTAGGCCCCAGGTAAAAAGGAATATTTGAGTGATGAGAAAAATTAAGCAAGAGATATTTCATCTCCCAGAATTCTTTGAGGATTAAATACCAATGTGCTTTGGCTAAGGATTATGCATTTCAATGCTGGTACCCACAGATCAAGAATCAATAAAAAAGCCATAGAATTAATAAATTACTTCACAGATGTTTATTGAACACTTCATATTTGTACAACACTCTGATAGATAGAAATAAAAATGAATTAAACTTACGACGTGGTTGCTGCACACATTCAGGGAGTATGTGTAACTAATAGTTCTAATAAATGAAAGCAAACATGTAGCAATAATTTTCCTAACTTTATAAACTGATAAACTCTATAAATTTACTAACTATGAATCAACATAATATCCTAGCATTATAAATTAATAAACCCTTCCTTCCTTTCTTTTTCTTTTCTTTCTTTCTTCTATTCCCTCTCTCCCTCAGCACCCCTCTCTTTCTCTGTGCTGGGAATCATGCCTAAGGCCTTATGCATGCTAGACAATCACTGTRCCACTGAGCTATACCACCACATCAGCTCCTGCATGTATTCTAATCCATTCTAATCCATCCATTTCTCCCTTACTTCCCCTTGTCCTTGGTACCTCATAGTCTTATTACAGATCCTCTTGGCTGTCACACCAACAATCATTCCAAAACCCCAAACCAACATTAGTACYCACTAACCTGAGTTCCCCATTTCCCTGCCAATCCCAGTAGACTGAATACTATGTTTCAGACCGAAATCTGTGGGAAAATACTTATGGGCTATAAATTAAATGGCAACATCAAAATGTGATAGCAATGAGTAGGGCTCTAGAATCAAATGTCCTCATTTTAGGACACTGTTCTCATCTGCCCAGTGGAGAATGGAATAATTCTCACCTCTTTCAACTGTAAAGAAGAGAAATAACAAGCACAGAAAACATTGCTTTTCATGAACCCCTGCTATTTTGGTGCAATACATGAATTGGCTAATAAATTTATACATCACATATAAATGTGTATTATAGCTATTGACATCCCGCTGCAGCTTGAGGGAACTYGTCATCTTCCTTTGATGATTCGTATCAGCTCCACATGTTGTTCCAGCTGTCTGGAAAATGCTCTTGCCTTTCCTTCCTTTTGGGGTCACTCAGCTGAAGTATATATGCCAGGGGCAWTTGCAATGCAGACATAATCTCTATTGATAATGTAGTGTTATCTGTCTTCCTCTGATATKCTGGCTTTAACCTAGGGTAATTTTTCTTGAGAGATTAATGGTTATGTTTTCCCAAACAAACAAAAA